TCATGGCTTCATCATGGGGCTCAGCCAGATGATCTCTCTCTGTATGATGGGAAGACAGATACTTGTCCAAGACCTTTTTCTTGAGTACAAAAGCATGAAACAAGTTGGGTGAAATGGTGGAGAGAGAAGCAGAGGGAGGTTTGTACCCTGCCTGACAGGGAGCCTGACTGGACCTTCTCCTGCAAGCTACGATGAACCATACACCCCCAAAGTGTCTGCTTCTCCTCCAGGACTGTGCAAAGGCCTCATTGCCAACCAGGGTTTGCTGCCCAGCAGGGCAGTGAGGACAGCTGCTGTTGGCTGGCCTCAGAGCCCAGGACCATGGGGAAGTGGCAGTTTCCTCCACCCTGAGCCCACACAAAGGGTAGGTGGCTGCCTAATCACCTACCCATGGGAAAGAGAAGACTTGCTCTCTGGAAACAGAGGGGCTAGGCAGTCACAGGCAGCCAATTGACTTATGGCAGACTCCTGGGGTGATAAATTGAGGCTAATTGTGGGCAGGTGACAAAGGAGACTAAGGGAGAAGGAGCGGGGGGACATTCACTCCCTGGCAGCTGCTGCCCAGCCCTGCCCCCTTCTTTTACTGCTCCTTTCAGGCCACTTGAATTGTGCACACTTAGTGCTTTCCAAAACCTGCAGAACCTCCCTCACAAGGCTCCTGCCCCCTCCCTTCCCTCTCCCTTTCAGGGCTCCTGTCCTCTCCCTTCCACTCCCTCCCTTGTTGCCTGCTCTCACTCCTGTGTCTGGGATAGGAGCTCTGTGGTCCATGAGGGGAGAAGCCACCCTGCCACCCACGGGCTCATGCCATCAAGCCCTTCTGATGCCACAGCACAGGGTTCTGAGGATGTTCTTCCATCCCCATGAGACCCACGTGTCTTCTCCAGGTCGTGCTCCCAGCCCTGATGCAGGTGGCTCACCTGGAGAGAAGGCACAGTACCGTGTTCTGAATATGGAAATCTTGGATATCTGCTGAATATGGATATCTTCAGCATCCCCCTTAAGGAGCCACTGTGTTAAACAGCCCTGCTGTGCCTCTGGTTTGGACCCCAACAAAAGGAAAAAGCCACTTGGATCTCAGGTCATGGTAGGGCTAACCTGAGAGCAGAGGCTGCAAGGGGAGGATCCAAGGGCTCAGCTTGAGGAAATGAGCTTTGTCCATCACGTGCTGAAAGGCCAGGAGGCAGCAGGTGCTCCCCAGTCCCTGCTGGACCCCCCATGGATGACTCAGGCTGCCTGACCTTATCCCACACTTCTGTTAGCTCTTTCCTCCTCGCTCCACCACGTGCCCTGGTGGGACAGAAGGACAGACACTAATGGGGACACACCAGAGTTTTCACCAAGCCCTGGCTTTCCAGAAACTCCTCTGGGAAGAGCCAGATCAGGGCTTATTACAAACTGGATGAAAGCATCCCACCAGTGGGATAGGGCAGTTGATGACCCTTACAAGAGACTGAATAACAAACATCAAGCAAGCTCAGCTCAGCTCAGCTGAGCAAACTCTAAGAGCCCAGTGCTCCTGTGGGGTCTGGAGTCCTGGAGGTGTTTAGGACTGGATCTTTGAACAGGTTGAGTAGGTCAGTCAGGGCAGACACTTCCTACCCCACCCACTCCAGGCTGCTTTCCTGAGGGGTGTTCTCAATTCCTCTCTGCCTGTTTGAAGACAATATTTGGTGATTCGCCGCTTCTCACTTCCCCTCGCTCACACTTGCTTCTTCACAGCTTGTCAGAAAACGATACCCACTCTGCAAAAGTGGTATCAAAAAATCAAGTAAAGCAGTAAAAGTCAAGTCTTAGCAGGCAGCTGAAAAGCAGCGAGGTGTATGTTATGCAGAAGAACTAAAATTAACTCTTTCCTCCTCTCTAGAGGGTCTGCTCTACGCACCCACCACCCACCCTAAGCCACTGACCATCTGGACTCACACCAACAGTCTGACAGCAATTAGCTGGAGAGAAGCAGCTGGCAACCATCAGCTCCTTGTAACCATGCATTAACTGGATTTATCACAGGCTTGGAAATTATGAGTATTTGCCTGTAAATACACCATTTCCATTTCACTCAGCCACATATAGCCGTAAGTTAAAAGCCCGTGTCTAAGTACATCCCTCAGCTCCCTTTATAGACAGGGGTGACCTCTTTTAAGTGACTGGCTTGGGATGAGCTGGATCACCCTGTGGAGGGCTGTATTCCTTACTGCTGACTTACAGGAGTCTGTGGTGAACACCCAAATTGACATTAAATTGTTTCATGAAATCAAGCACTCTTTGCATGATGGAGCTTTCCCTCAAGTCCTTCCCAACAAGATTTTGGAGTTGGGTATGGACATTTTCCTGGGAGATAAGACGTGCACCCAGGTTTAATCCAATTTTTAACCCAATATTGCTTGGGCTTTGGCTTCTCTAACTTCAATCCTGGATGCTTTGACAATGTTTCTGTATTTGTCCCAGTTATCCAAAGCTACATCTACCCTCTGTATGCTTCTTTTTCATGTTTTAGTTTGGCTAGGATCTCTTCATTCATCTGCACAGTCTTCTTGGCATTTTTGTCTGACTTAGTATTTGTTGGAATGGAAATCTCTTGAGCTTGTGAAAGGAACTCAGAGAACCTTGTGCATCAGAAAAATATTTCTTAGATAGTCCTGGTGTCTCAGGAGAATTTTCTCCCAAAGCTGGATGTGACTGGATTAAGCAAAGACAAGATTTAAGAGTAATGTGGTTGCAGGTAAGAATACATCCCCATGACACCACACATGGCAATGGGAGCTGAGCCATCTTCTTCTGCAGCTCAATCTCCTCCAGGAGAAATCCTTGCACATAAAGGTGTCTCTGTGCACCCCTCAAATGCTTCGTGGGCAGCTGCAGTACGAGATGGGAAGTCATTGGTCAAAAGTGATTGCTGTCTCCAGTCTCCTTCAAGGGTGAAAGAATTAAACACAAGATGAAATGGATGAGCTTGTAGGTCAGGGCTGCCCAGGTTTGTGCAGTTGACTTGGGGTATTTTCAACAATCTTGGCACAGTTAAGCTCATGGCAGATGTATGACCTTGTCAGCACATCTGCAAGGTTCTCAAGACATCATGACATTGTGTCTCAAAGTAATCTGTGGAGTTTATCAGGGAGCCTCTGATCTGGGTGTCTGTAGATCACGCAGCATTGTCACCTGTGCAGTGCCTGCCCAGGTGTCTGAGGGCTTACAGAACCACATGAGAGTTATTCCAGTACAGAGCCCCAGTGTGTGCTCAGTTTGAAACTGCTGAAGCCTCATCAGCAGTTAAGAGCACTTCAGATTTTAAGAGATATCAATCATTTTGGAAGCACCTAATCTCCATTTTGCTGTGACTGATGAGAGACTTGCTCATCACCTTCCATATCCAAGACAAGGATTTGTTCCAGAATTTGAACAGGAGAGCAATCCCTGTCTGCTGAGCATACTGTGCACACCGTGATGGAGACTGATGGACCAGCATCTCCTCACAAGCAGTCAGAGTTCCAACCAACACAGAAACCTAATTAAATGTGACCAGGAGATGGCTTTGCCCACTTCACTTCCAACCTTCTCTGCCCAGAGAAATGAGTTCAATAAGGCAAAGGCCCACCTGAAGCTGTTTGACAGCCCAGGCATTAATGCATGGCCTTACATCCCTTGTGTTTAGCTTCAGCCCAAGGGGATGTCCCCAGTTGGGCCAGGAAAGTCCCACTACGATAGGCCACAGTGTCCCTGAGACACTGCCCTGTCCCCAGCTTGGCATGGAAGGCTCTCCAATTCCAGCAGCTACTTTCTGGCCCGAGGCACCGCTGCTTGAGCTCACACTGGGCACATCAGATGTTTATCACCCTGGGAAGACAAACCAGGCAGTCTGAGCACTGGGGTTGCTGAGGTGCCATCAGCTGGCTTGCAATATCCAAGGGAGGGGAAGAGAGACATTTGAACACGTCTGTCCTCTAGCCCTGAGCACTCTAGGCACTGCCTGGGCCAGGGGAGACTTGCATTGCAGTGTCATGGACTTAACTAAACCTCTGCAGTTTCCAGGGCAGCAGGACAGCTCTTCCCCAAGGGCACATCTGCCTCCCCTGCTCACTGAGGCAGACCCATGGTTGCCACACTTAACCACCATCCTGTTATGGAAATTCAGTGTGTTTCCCATGGTCTAGTCCCTGCAGGAAATATGGAAAAACAGAGCTCTGCTCCTTGCCTCCCCTCTCTCATCCCACCCGGTCCTTCCATCCACGCCAGCCAGCTGCCAACCCCACCAGGGCTCTTTGCAAGGATCTTTCTGCCTGGACTGCAGCTGCAGGGTGAAGCCTCTGTGTCAGAACTGCACAGCCCCAGCACAGCTCTACCTGCAAGGGATAACCACCCTGGGACAGAGCATCCTTTTAACCTCCAGGATGGAAAGTGCCATGCACCAGGAAAAGAGACAGATCCTGCTTCCAGAGCTTTGCTGGCTCTCTCTGGTACCCTGTGACTGCCTGCACAACTGTAGATGGCCAGACATCTGTTGCCACAGTGCTGCAATCCCTAGTCCTGGGAGAGGGCTGTGAGCTGACCCCTCTCCTTCAATAGCACATCTCCTTATTGAACTACCTTCATTACTGCCCAGGATTGTGGGGATAGAGCAAAAGTCCTCCCAGGGAGCTCAAGCACCTCAGGAATCAGTCCCTTGGCTGGCTGTGCTCCCCACAGCCTCATGCTGGGGTCACAGCAGCTGCTGCAGCCAGCCCAGCCAGCCCCAGGCCTGCAAGAGCATCCGGTTCCTGCCAGCACCCAGCATCACCGGCTGGGTGTTTGTCTGCCTTCCTCCTTTGAAAGGAGTTTCCATAGGAACAGCCAGGCCAGCAGCCCTCTGCAGTGTGGTTCTGGTGTATTACCCAGCGTGAAAGCACACAGCTGCCCAGCATTGTCCAGCAGCTGTTCCCTCATCCCCCAGCACTTGCTAGGCAGCCACACTGGAGCATTACGAGGTCACTGAGCCGTGGAGATTGTGGGGCTCTGACAACCAAACACCAACACTCAGAGCTGGAGATGTTCTTCCTCAGCAGGTCTGTTCCCACTCTCTCACCTGCAGCACCCGAGTGCTTCCCAGCAGGGCAGCAGGGGACAAGCTGGAAACCCATCCACGTGCTGTTCCCACCCTGCTGCCCTGCTCAGGTCCTGGAAAGGACAGCCACAAGCCCCACAGCCCAGCTGGCTCCCCACCATGTCCCCAGAAGCATTCCAGACCCCCCTGGATGAGGAGGCAATAAGAGTGTCTGTGCTCAGCATCCCCTCCCGCTGCAGGGACAAGGGGACAGGCCACTGGGAGCCATCTGTGTGTGTGGCATCAGCCCAGGGCTGCAGCCACTCGCTGTGGGGTTGGCAGCACAGTAGCACAAGGAGCTGCATGGGGGGCCTGGATCAGGCTGGATCTGGCTGGAGAAGGAGGCACAGTGCATTTCCCAGAGCAGTGCTGCCAGCAGAGCTGCTGTTGAGGTCCAGCCAAAACCTAAAGCCTCCTTCCCCAGCTGGGAGCTGCACGCCCCGTCCCCTGACTGCAGCTGCCTCTCCCGACCCTGGAGGGGTCTGAAGTGGGTGCAGTGCTGCTGGGGGATGATGGCCCAAGGGCTCAGAACCCTCAGCCAGCCCTCACAGTGCCCTCTGTGTACCCACATGTAGCTCATCTGACAATGCCTTGGAGGAGGGAGTCTCCACAGGCCATCTTTAGGATGGGGTCTTGTCCTTCCAGGAGGTTTTTCAGCTGAAATTGCCCCTTAGTGGGCAATTCCTTCCAAATCCCTTCTTATTCCTGGAAGCCAGATGTTCCCCTGCAGCTTCTGAAGAGACAGGAGCTGCAGGTCTCTCGCTTTCTCTTCCCCACCAGTTAAACCTCTTTCTCCCTGTGATGATAATGGGGGGTCAGGAGCAAAGAGACTGTGAGGGTGAGGGAAAAGGTTTTGTGAGAGGAGGTAGAGTGTGGTGGGCCACACTGGGAAGAGGAAAGGGATGGAGGTCATAGGGGAAGGACAGAAAGCAGGAGAGTAAAAGACAGGATGCATTTTATAATTCACTGCTCCCTTAACTAGAGTCACCCTGGCCTGTCACAGGACGGACAGCTGGAGGTTTGCAAGCTCTTTCTTCTCCCTCAGACAGGGGACAGCAGTAGGGAGGCAGGCAGGGGGGCTGCCCCACACTGCTCCCACCCCATCAATCCTGGGAGCGTCCCACATGTGGCTGTAGCCCTGTCACATTTGTTCTGGGGCAAGGTCTGCCAGCCTCAGCTTTTCACCAGTGTGGGTCAGAGCACAGAGCAGGGTCAGGATGAGGGGTGGGAAGTGAGGGTGCATGTAGCAGCAGCAGATCATGGGGGCTGTCCTGTGCATGGCCCAGGAGATGCCAGGTCTGTGGTTCTTGCAGGTTTAGAGCTTCTGCCCATCCAGCCCCACCCTTCTGGATTTCATGTACCCACAGTGCTCTGGTGTCTCATCCAGGTCAAGGTCCTTTCCTGGCTCATAGAGACATTCTGGACACCCCCAGGAGTCATCCCCAACTGCTGTACACTGCAGTGGTCTAGAAGGAGAGGAGAGATCAGTTTCAAGATCTCTCCATTCAGAGCTGAAGGGGCAGAACAGGACGTTCTCTTCCCCCTGACACCCAGAGGTGAACGTAAAAGGGCACTGGGTAACACTGGGACCACTGCTGTGAATTTGAATTGAACTGAATTTTAAGCTTCATCTCAGCCCCAGAGAACTGGAGCAAAATCCTTCTGGACAAGGGAAAGGTGATTTTTTTGGTTTTGGGGTTTTTTTTTGGCAAACATTGCTGCCCTGGCTGATCCTCTGCATGACCACCAGCGCTGGTCACAACCACCCTGCAGTCTGCAGCCTTTGTCTCCATGAAACCTTTCTCTTTGTTCTTCTTGTTTTCAGACCCAAGGTATTTGGTCCAAGGAGCAGCTGGGAGCAGTGGAGTGGGCAGGTTTATGTTGGGACCTTGTGTGGCATCCCCTTGGTGTGTGCACCACGATTGTCTCCTGCTCTCACACCCACTGGGACAGAATCTGGCAGAGGAGCTAATTTCCCTTCCAAAGCAGGAAAATAGCTGAAGGACTGGACAAGAGGGAAGTTTTTTACCTTGTTCCTTGTAGAGCTTATATAGAAAAACTGGTGAGAAATCATGCACCGAAGAGAGGTTTTCAAGACACAATCAGATTTTTACCTGAATGAGTTGTTTTCATTAAAACATCTGCTTTCAGGGAAAATTTTCAATGTTTCATCTGAAAGAAAAAAGGAGCAATGAATTTGAAAACACCACAGCAACATCTCCCAGAAAAGGGAAAGCTGGGTTGACCCTGCCATGCAGATGAAGAGCAAAACCCAGAACACCTGGAGGACCAAGGTCTGTGTGTAGCTGAAAGAAGTCTGCCCTCCCTAACAGATTGTCAATTTTTGCCAACCAGCTCAAACATCCCAGAGAAACAAATGTTCTGATTGTACCCACGTGCCACTGGCCATTGAATTGTTGCAGACCAGGCAGCAGTGACAGAGATTTGCAACCAGGGGAGTTCTGTTAATTGTCCCTTATACATGAGACCACTCTGCAGGGACCTTTTAAGGCATAGAAACATGAAAATAAGCAAGGCCAGGGGCATCCAGGGAGAACAGCTCACTCAGCATCCCAGGGTGAGCATGGCACAAAGCATCTTCCATCCCAAAGCTGGCCTGCTCCATCCTCTGTCCCCGAGCTCAGCCAAAGCTCAGTCACTGGCAGGTAGCTCATTAGTGTGGCACAGCCCCAGAGCCTGGCAGGGAGACAGGGCATAAAAGCAAAACTCCTGACATGGAGCAGAAGGACAATCCTGGCAGACTGCAGCTGGCAGGGACCCAGAGATGCTGCTCCAGCCGCCACCCCAGCAAGGCCAGGTTGGGTGCCAGGAGATGTGGTTTGCATGGAGTTATTGTTCCATGGGAAACTGGCTGTCTTCCTGCTCTTCATCTGTCAGCAGGATTTTCAGAGAATATGTTCCCAAATATGAAGTGAATGTGGCAGGCTGGGCTGGAGCCCTTTGCTAGAAAACCTGGACGTCAGAGTGTGTCCGGTTTAATCCCAGAGTCTGTGAGAATCAGTGTAAAGTAGCATATCAAGTGAACTTTTCACTCTGTGGCAGGAGGGATTACCACATCCCCTTTGTTTGTTGTGCACTGCGTAACTGAAAACACTTTAACCCTTTCTTGCAGCCCTGAGGCACTAAGTACCCATGAAAATTCCTAGGAAAACTGCAGCTGTTCCAATCTCCGCTGCCTGGAGGGTGATGGGTACACTGATTTTTTCATGAACCATTGCTCCTAGGCTCCCCCTTGCCTAGGGAAATGGGTCCTGGTTTAAAATACCTCACTGCATTTGGGAAGGTTTTGCATCAGGCAGCACCAGGTGCTCCCAACTTCTCATAGCCCTGGCCTGGCAAAAGCTTGGAGGGGAGGCTCCACTGGTTCCATGTCCAAGTGAGTTTTGCAGCTATAGAGCAGCAGTTTCAGCCCTTTCAACACCCACTCAGCTCACCAATCCGTCATCTTTTACTGCCCTGCATTAGTGCAGTTCCAAGGAGGAAAAAAAATTGCACAGGAAAATCCTGCCAAAATAATAAAGTGAGATCATTTCTATTAGAAAATGTTCCCTGTGAAGAAGCAAATTTTGATGTGAAACAAATCAGAAAAGTTATTTTTATTCGAGATGAATGAAAATGCAAATCCTGGCCTCTGAGAAGTTTATTTCTAATAAATCACCAGTTTCATTCCTCTCTCCTTCTTTCTTGGTTCTTTTCCAGTTGAAATTTCATCAGTGCTGGACATCAGGTGACATGGTGTCATGCTTTTAATGCTCCTATTCCTACTTGATAACTTTCCTTCAGCTGGAGAAAACAAAGGGGAAGTAAAATGCAGAACAGGCAGAAAAGCCAGACTCCAGGACATGAGCCATCTCACTGTCCTCAGCAGCAAACTGAGATGAAAGACAGAAAACTTCCTATTTCCAGTTTCAAAGAAAAGGCTTTGAAATGCAACCCAAAAAGCTGAGTTGGAAACTGGACTTTCTACCTTATCCAGTAAATTCCACTGACTATTGGTGACAAGAAAAATTACTCTTTTTTTTACTTTTTTTTTTCTTTTCCTGAAAAGAAAAGCATTAAAATAAAACTTTCTAGGTGGGGGATTTTCTCCTTTAGGAAAGTTGATGGTGTCACCTCTGCAGCAGCTTCTCAGCAGTCTGGAGCTCACTGGGTAGCTCCCCACATGCATCCATTTGCTTCTCAGAACACAGATTTTACTCCATTCTGCGCTGTGTCCATCACCTCCAGACACTCCCCACCTGCTTCTCAACAGTGACAAACCTGCTTGGTCACAACAAGCCTTCCTTCCACCTCCTCCTCCTCCTCCATTTCCTCTGGAAATGCCCAAGGGAAAGCAGCTGGGCAACCCTCCACTCATCCACTGGAAAAAAAATCAAAGAATCAGTCTTTAAGGTCAGCTCAGGAGCTTCCTGGGGACAATTTTAGTTATTTCATGTGTTTGCAGCACAAGGCCATGATGTGATGGTCGTGACTGGTACTAAAGGTAGGCAGAGCAATGCTTCCAGTCCAGGTATGGACTCCAGCCCAGCACCCAGCATCTCTGGACAGACAGTCCAGGTGTGTTCAGTAGGAGATAAAACCAGGTCTGATCATCTGGGCACTCTGTCAGTGTTCAGTGAGGGCTTTCCCCTGCTACCAGAGCCTTCTCTGACTATCAGCTCCTTAGAACCAGGCAGGCAGCTGCCATCCTCTTCACACAGCCACTCTCAGGCTGTCCATACTGGGCTGATCATGAGTTTTCAGCTGCTTGGTGGAGGCTTGGAGCAGAGATGGAACAGAAGGAAGCACAGACCTAGGAGCCAGGGGAATGTTCAAGGCTGGACATCTGGGTTTTGAGGGATAAGGTCCAGCTTTATTCAGAGTTCTTCATTCTGACAGCACCAGCCAGTGACTGGGGCAGCCCATTTCCTTTAAGATCCAGGAGGGATCTCCTGGAGCAGGCTGGCAGGTAGACAACAGGGATCTTGCACTTTGAAACTTGCACAGTTTCAAAGTGTCTGTACTTAAGGGATTAAGTTTTTCTGTTGCAATTCACTAGGGGTTGAGTACCAGGTCTGAATTCCTGGACCCTCTTCATGATACTCTTTCTTGCTCTTCATTTGGGTGTTAGGTGCTAATGGGATGAATTAATGACCCCTCCAACCCTGGCACCGAGGGAAAGTTCCAGGTTTCCCAATCCTCTTTGCCAGCTGCTGGAAATCACCATCTCCTCCTTCCTGCATGGTCTCTTCGTGGCCCTGGGCTCAGTGCCATGAAGCTCTGCACCTTCCTGCTACCAAGGGGCTGCAAAACATCCACATTTCAGCAAAATCCTCAGCACAGCTGGGACAGGTGCTGGTCCTGGATCCCAAAGTGCCTTTGGGTGAGAATGAATGAACTCTCCTTGTGAATGCTGAGCAGGTTCTGCCCAGACAATTGACCACAAATATTCAATTACACTTTGAAGTGTGTTTGTGCCAACCTGCTCTCTTAAGAATGCGATTTCCTAGGTAAAAACTCAGGAAAACCACATTGTAAGCTCAATTGCTCCCTGAAAACGAATTTCTGAATCATTGAAGTAGCCACTAGTGGAGGGAACTGGGGATCTGGCACCCAAGACAGGATAATCAAAAGGCAGAGTTCCCTTCTTGGAATGGATAAATGGCCTCAAACAGCTCATCTTGCCTGGTCTTCAACCCCTGATGCTCTCATCCCATAGGATGGAAAGGGTCACACCTGAGATGAAACCATTTCTTGTGAGTTTGTCCTTTTTGGATGTGTTTCTGCTTCTGTGCTTGCCCCAGCAGGAGGCCAAAGTGTGCTGATGATGAGACGAGGAGCACAGGGATCCATCCAAGCTCCTGCCTCGACCTGGAGGCTGATCTCCAAGATATGGACACGCTTCTCGCTTGTCAGTGCCCCCAGCCTGGTGCCCTGTGTCAGCCTGGGTCACCCAGTGCTCCAAAGCTTCCCAGGGTGGCTGCCTGAGGGACCCACTCCAGGTCGTGGCTGATGGGGCATTTCCCTGGAAGGAAAGGCTCAGAGCCAAGCCCTGCCTTTGCCTCGCGGAGCCAGCTCTGCCAGTGGGGGGAGTGTGACCTTGTGACTCCCACAAATCCCAAATTAATTAATCCCGGGGACACTGGGGCAGCATGAACAGCCTGTTTGATTTCTCTGCAGTTTTTTCCTGGGGCTCAAAGGGATTAGTGCAGGCGGGAACAGGGAAATATAACAAGGGGCTCAGCTTTCAGCTCCTGCTCCCAGCCAGCAGACTTCTGTTCTTAGCAGAGGTATTAACAGCAGTAATCCACACTGTCTCTGAGCATTATCTGTGTGCGGCATCCTCTTCCTCTCCCCCTGTATGGAGCCCTCAGCTCACCAGTGTGTGCTCACATCCTGCCTGATGAACTTGCTCCATCCTCCTTCCTCCTTGACACATGCCCCTGTGGCACATGCAGTGCCCCACACAGGGCCCACCCAAATTACCATGGGGCCATGCATTTCTTGTGTACGATCCACTGATGCACTCTCACATGCAGGACCCTGCTCATGCTGTGGTCTGTGGGCTCATGACATTTCTCCTAGGCCATTCTTGCGTGACTCCTTGTGGAGTGTTGGGAATTCTGGTCCCCAGGGACAACTTCACCATGAGAGTGGTGCTCCAGTTGAAACCCTTTATTGGAAGGAGTTTTGTCGCAGCTTGAGCAGGTACCAAATGCAAGGACCCGTTTGTGCTTGGTGTCATCTCAGTGCGAAGAAGACTTTGATGGAAATGGGTGAGCTGGAACCATCTGCTTCCATCAATAAATCTAAAAGTGCTGCTGCAGTTTGTCACAGCTTTTAGAAGCTGTGGGGCAGCTGTGAGCAGAGGGCATCCCTGTGAACCAGCAGGCTTGGGCATCTCTGGGAACACTTTGGGTCACTCCACTGAGCCACCTGCTCCATGCCTGGCTTTGCATCTGAGGGCCCAGATAACAGAGGTGAGGATGGATGGATGGATGGATGGATGGATGGATGGATGGATGGATTGAGTGTCCCCTCAGCTCCATTCATGCTTTATATCCAGTGCTTCACCATCCAGACAGGAAGATGTGAAGAGCCAGAGGGTCCTGAGCACAGCCACAGTGAGGATAAGGGAAGAAGAAAAGCGTGGAGTAGGCAAAAGTAATGGGATTTTGTCAAAACATGAATCACAGGAGTGTGAGAGGGATCCTCTGAATGGGCAGAGAGGAATGACCTGCTGCTAACCCAGAACAGATCCATAGAAGATCTCACTATTGTGCCTATTGCTATTAACCAACAGCATCTAACATCTGCAAACACAATATCCTCTTCTCCAGGAGAGAAGGGGAGAAACCAGCAAGAGATAATTGGAATTAAGAATGATCAAATTCCTTACAATGTTTAATGAGTTCCTTACAAACTCATTAAACACTGACAGAGAGCCCAGATGATCAGACCCTGGTCCCTGACCTTCAGTCCCTTGGCAGCATCCCAGGGATGAAAAAGTGAAATCCCAGGGATCCCAAAGTGAAATGGTGCTGCACAGTGGGACTGGGAAAGTTAGCCAGGGCTTGGTGCAGACTGCCACTGTCTGTAGAGTCCACCCAGAGTGAGATCCTGGGGGGACAGAGTCAGATCAGCTTCCCCCCAGCTGACTCTGCCTGCTTTGATGCAATCTGTCCCCTAAAAACCAAAGATCCTGCCAAGTGCCAAAGATGCTGCTTTCCAGTGCTCACAGAGATCTGTCTTTCCTCTAGTGTGGCTGATGTGGTGTCCAAACTGAGAGCACTGAGGCCACCAAACAGGAGTTCCCCACACACAGGTGAAGTGTGTGGTATAAATAAAACCTTTGCCTTCTCCTTGGCATGGGCAGCTCTCATGGGAACAGCCTGCCTGGAGGCAGAGGCTTCCCCAAATGTGGATGGAGAAGCAGCAGCTCCTAACCTGCCACAACCCAGGGCTCATCGAGCCACTAATTCAGTCCTTGGCTCAGTATCAGCACGTGCACATGGCGATCTCCACCTCTGTGACCAGATAACATAATTAATTGTTGGTGCAAATTGCTCATGTGCAATGGACAGAGTGCTTGTAGCTCCATCCTAGTGACTGCTTTGGGGTGATGGAGAAACACAGAGGTCTGAAGTAACAAAATACTCAGTTCTCCAAGGTACCAAGCTGCTGGCCAGTCCACATCTCTGGTCATACCCAGTACCTTTATCCAGCCTAGATCTCCATCCCTTCTGAAACTGAACAGTCCACACCCCACACAGCAACAGTGGATTTTCTTCAGGGCTGGAATACATCCCTTTTATTGCTCTGTTTGTTTTATATTGTTATCAAGCTGGTGATTCAAAGCCAAATTCATCCCTCCTGAGCTTGCCTGGCCAGATGGTGAGGGTCTGTTATGTGAAATGTAGTATGGAAAGGTGAGAGAGTTACAAAGTGGGTCACCAGCAGGTGTGTTCCCCACTGCTCTGGGCTCCATGGAAAGCTGGGTTTACAAGGGCTGTGTGTTGAACATGGCCAAATAACTCAAGGAAGGATGACTGGGTGTAAAAAACTGGGTTTACAAGGGCTGTGTGTTGAACATGGCCAAATAACTCAAGGAAGGATGACTGGGTTACAAAGCTGGGTCTTTTCTCTTGGAAAGCAGCAGCACTACCTTAGGCAATTGTGGAAACAACTTGAGCTTCCAGGACAAAGGAGAGCTTAGGTGGCAAACACTTTTAGGGGCTTGAGCAGAGGGAATTGAGGGAAGCAGCCTGTCCCTGAGCATGGCAGGAACAATCCAGCACCACCACATGGACACTGCTCCATTGTTGGCACTTCAGTGGATTTGTTGCCAACACAGAGGAAACAAAGGAGAGGGCACAAGGACAAGTCAAGGTCTAGAAAAGCTTCCTCCAAGCAAGAGGCAGCAGCAGCTTTGGGGTTGCCAGAGAGATGCTCAAGGTGTGGCCCAGCTGCTCACATGCGAGGAGGCATTTGAGAGCAAGTGGGTTTTGGTTCTGCAGAG